GGGGAGGAGATGGCTGGAAGGGGTGCTAAGAGGATGCCACAGCCCCATTCTGCTGATTTGGGAGTTTGATGGATTGCAGGGGGCGGGGGCAGAGGGGCCGGGGTGGGGCAGGAGCGTGTGAACCCCCTCTCACACTTGCTGCTTCAGCTTTGTCAGGAAGTCAGCCACACCTGCCCGAGACACCCTGGGGGCCTGTTTTCTCTGCAAGGACCGGCAGGGCCACATCCGGCTCAGTACAAGTTGATCTGATCAGGTTGGCTGCTGTTGAAATCCACGAATCACGTCCAACAGTTCTTTCTCCACCACAGACTAGACTAGTAATAAAGCTCAGGGTGGCGGTGCATTGCCCCAGACCCAGGGTCAGCTAATGGCACAGGTGGGGCATAAACTCAGGTCATGTGGTTCCTCAGGCCCCCTGCTGTGGGAATCAGGTCTACACTTTATTCGGTTATATGAGGGTTAACTGGCCCTATTTTGTGAGCAGGAAATAATACCTCAAGCCTCTGCTTGCTACAGGGTCTTTGCCACTTGGGGGCTGGACATATTAAACAAACAGGACCATCTTTCCAAGTCTTCAGGAGTGGCCAGTATGGGTAGTTCTACCTACTACAGATGTGGGGACACTGAGGCAGCAGGAGTCCTGCCCCCCTAAGAGAATGCAACTTCTGGCATCTTACTCAGTACATGGGTCCCAAGGAAACCAGGCTTTTCTTAGCAGCAGAGCAGTGCCCGTGTTTTTGACCCACAAGTTGGACCTTCTCTCCCCCCCAATAACCCTGAGCCAGTAGAATGGGAGGTAAGACGATCAGGTACCTACTCTATGGAGACATTGACAATGGTGGTCCGACCGAAGTGACTATTCCAATCTGAAAGAGAAGAAAGTGACTGATCTCAAAGCTGGTTCCTTGATTGAGTGAGTGTGGGAGCTGCTTGCGTTCGAGGTTCCCAAATGAATGCCTGGGGTCTAGAGATGCCTGCCCACATCCTCCCCTCCCCTCTTGTTCCCCAGAACTTGCCCCCACCTCCCCACAAAACCAGAAGAGGCCTCTTCTTCTTCCTGAGACTGCTGGTTGGGGCTCTACAGCCAGGTCTTGACGAGGCATCCCCAGTGCCCAACTGGATCAAGCAGACACCAGCAAATGCTTATTGAAGGAGCCCAGGGCCCCAGCACGAGTGGAGGGAAGAAATCAGTAACACTGTTACCCCTGGCAACAATCACAAGAATGTCACATTGCCTCCTTTCGACAGAGTAAAGCCTTCTGGCAAAATGTATTAGTTTGTCAGTTTGGACATCTCTGAGTATTATGAAATGTGTCCAGAAATCTTGCGTTGATATACTATACATATGTTACATGTAATATAACGTATCATTGCCAACACACAAGCTCTTAGGAAGGGAATCTGGAAAGACAGAAGTTACTGTGGCAGTGGTATCTCGTGGCACGTTGTGTGCTACCTTGAATTAACTGAGGTCTGCCTCTGGCTGAGGAGAAACAGACGCCTGAGGAATCAGGGTACCACTGGCTGCCACATGGGCACTTAAGGTGCTAAGCTACACCACTTAGTTGTACAGCCTTCGGCTCCGTCCATCTTCACATTTCTAAGTGAAATACTGGCTGTTATTCACCGGACACTCACTACGTGCCAGGCTCTGGCATCATCTCCTGATCCCCATGATAGCTGAGGATCTGAGGCCTGGGGGGATTGATGTGCTTAATATAATAAGAAGTCATTTGCTAGATCGAGCAAAGGTATTTTCTGGGAAGCAGACGAGGGTCAAGTCTACACCCACAATGTCATTCTGTCAAAAGGACCCTCTTATAACGAGTGTGACTAGACTTCCTATGAGACCAATTTTACACTTCCAGTGCTATGTCTGTCACAGAGGGGATGGGGAGAGATCAAGTTCAGGGATCTTTGCGGTAGGTCACATGCCATAAAAAGGCCTCTGCAAAGACCTGGCAAGATGTAGGGTGGGGCTGCAGGTAAACATTCAGCTCCAGACTGAATTACTACTGTGTGTCTGCATGGGCCAGGTCCTGGGCCACACTTGTGATGAAGGACGCCCCAGGTCCAGTCTCCACATGGGAGGACAGAAGTTTGGGTTGTCCTAAGGTCACATAACTAGTTTCGAGATGTGGACTTAAATTTTAGATTTCTAGACTACCAAGACCCAAGCTCTGCCCCGCCTACCAGGCCGCCCATTAAGTCGAGTGGCCCAGGCGCAGGGCGCGCTGAGCTCCGCCTACCCAGAACGGTTCCAGTGTAGTTGATGGGCAAGATGATGCCCAAGGAGGGGATGCAGAGGATAAGCACAAAGATGATGAGATGATACTGGAACATGATGTAGATGCGGGCATCGTCTCCACACTTGCTAATTAGATCCTCGTTCCTGGAAGAGACA